TTTTTTTTTCATTTAAAATGTATTTTAATTTTTTTCAAGTATTTGAACTTTTATGATTTTGTAAATATTACTTTTGTACAGCATTTTTATCTGCTATAAACTTGTCCAAAGGGAAAATAAAAAAGATATTTGTATCGCACCTGTTTTTGGAGTGTCTATTAACTTGCATTTGCATGGGCGTTAACACAGGGTGTCATATTGCAGTCCTCCATTATGTGTCACCCACCCTGTGGCACTTAAAAGGTTTCAAAAGAGTTCCAGTGTACAAAACATTCTCAGAGGGAGTTGTCAAACAGCAAATCCAGGACAGGTGTGGTTTTTCAGGTTCTTTCTCAGAGCCTATGCACATAATAAGACCAGGCTAAACATGATCTGAGGTTTGGCTTGTGTTTACATGGAACTGTTAGTAATTAGACAAATTATGAACTTTTTTTTTCTTCCAACAAAACAAGTTTAATTAGGAAAGTCAACAGCAACCGGGGTGGTGCACTATTCAGACTTCAATTGAATTGTGGTAGCAAACAGGATGCATTATTACAAGTCAAATTCAATTGTAAGGAAGTAGAATTACATTGAATTTGATATCATGAGAAAACGTTACTATTTTACGAGGTGGTGATTTGTACAGAAGCGTAAAAAAAAACGTAAACATGAAGGCCCGCCCCTAAAAATCTAGTGCAAGATCATACGAAAACGTACACATTAGATAATGGGAATTTATACGAGTTAGCCACCAATTTGCCAAAATGCAAAATAGTTACGAATTGACATGAAAGTGTGTTGCTAATTTTTAACCAGAAAAATCAATGATTGTCAAACTTTGAAAAGGCCTACTAGCTTGACTTTCTTGTTTTACAATATATCTAAGATATTTTTAAAATACAGCTTATAGAAAATTATTTTGTATTCTTACATATTATAGGAAAGTAAGTGTTTATATTTATACAAACACTTCATTTTCCAGAATGCATTTCCTGTGTTGATTTTCTTTACTTGAAATTTAGCAGTTCCTCCATTTTCAAAACAATAACACAAATATGAATGCGAATCTATTTCACCAGTACACATGTACAGTTTAGTGCTTTGATTTTTTTCTTCCTTTTTTCAAATTCATTCGTACTGCCAGAAGGTGTCTCAAGTTATCTAGCTCTTCATACACTTCAAACAATAGTCAAAGAATATCAAATGTCTGGTTTTCTTTTTGCTTCTTTTTATGCTAGAACTCCGCCCAAAGTTTGAGGGCTATAAAACCCTGGCAATTAAAACCCCTCAGATGCTTTGCGCAATCCCAAAGTGACCTGCATCCAGCACCGATGGCATCTCAAGGCATCCAGATCCTGGGCATCATGCTTGCCATGATAGGCTGGTTTGGGACCATCATCACCTGTGGCATGCCAATGTGGAGGGTCACAGCCTTTGTTGGAGCGAACATCGTGACGGCACAAATCATCTGGGAGGGTCTGTGGATGAGTTGTGTGGTTCAGAGCACCGGACAGATGCAGTGTAAGGTCTACGACTCCATGTTGGCTCTATCGCAAGACCTGCAGGCTTCCAGAGCCATGGTTATCATCTCCATCATGGTGGGCATCTTTGGATTCCTGATGGCTGTGGTTGGAGGAAAGTGCACCAACTGCTTGGAGGACGAAGCAGCCAAAGCCAGAGCTTGCATCGTTTCAGGGGTGGTTTTAATCATCGCTGGCTTTCTCATCCTGATACCTGTGTGCTGGTCTGCACACACTCTTATCAGGGACTTCTACAACCCTTTAGTAACAGAATCCCAGCGGCGGGAGCTGGGAGCCTGTCTTTACATTGGCTGGGGATCTGGAGGCCTCTTGTTGCTGGGTGGTGGGCTGCTTTGTTGGAACTGCCCATCCAATGACAATAGGCCCTACGTGGCAGCCAAATACAGCCCTGTCATATCTGTGATCCCAGCAATGAATTATGTGTGAGAATAACCTTAAGATATGTGGCAAGTATACTGTGTAAAATGACTGAAATAGACTATCATACAAATTATCATGACTTTGTCATTTGTTAAATGAAGATGACTGAGTGAAAGCTGGCGAAAATAAGTTCACGATTGTTTGTTTACAATAAAAATGTGATCAAAATAAACCTGTATTTGTGTGTAATTGATAATAAGCATTTCCAAATACAGATGTTATATCTGAAAACTATTTTTTCTTTCATGCAAACACACACACACACACACAC